CAGTTGGAAGACAGTGGACTTTAAGACACAAGACTGCATTTGATGGCGCCTTCTTCTGTTACTGGGGTTAGGACCAGAGCATGTGTCCTGGCTACTCTAACCAGCCAGGCTCAGACACCATTATTAAGTCAATTAAAAAAAAACAAACAAACAAGCAACACTAGGTAGTGGTGGCACATGCCTTTATTCCTAACACTTGGGATGCAGATGTAGGCGAATCTCTGTAAATTCAAGGCCAGTCTAGTCTACAGAGCGAGTTCCAGGACAGTCAAGGCTACACAAACAAACCCTGTCTTGAAAAACAACAACAACAAAAGAAACAAGTTAGTAATCTGTGATGTGCCCACCTATAATTCAGGTACACCTGAGACAAGGAGCACAAATCTCTCTGATGTTCTAGAAGAGCCTAGACTATATAGTGAGTTTCAGGCCAGCCGGAGATTCATAGCAAAACTGTTCTTTAAAACAATAAAGCCGGGCGTTGGTGGCGCACGCCTTTAATCCCAGCACTCGGGAGGCAGAGGCAGGCGGATCTCTGTGAGTTTGAGGCCAGCCTGGTCTACAGAGCAAGTTCCAGGACAGCCTCCAAAGCCACAGAGAAACCCTGTCTCGAAAAAAATAATAAAAAATAAAACAATAAAAAGAAAACCATAGAAAAGAAAAAAGAGCAAATTATCAATAAAAGTTGTAAACGACATTTTTTCAGTGTGACTAATAGAAAACAGGGTTAGATAGTTGTGAGAGATATGCACAACTAAGTATTATAACTGAGCCATATAATGAAAGTTCCCCCACCTCTAGAACCCTCCCCCAACCCCAGCTTCCGTCTCTCTTGCAAGGTGGTCAGAAAAGGAGTAAATGTTTCTTCAGTAGACACATTCTCATCTAGAGCAACCAGTCTTTTCCCACAATGAATTTCTCAGGGAAATTAGAATTGTTAGCCAAAGGGAGAGATATAAATGTCTCTTAGAACACCCTTATTCCTGTACGCATGCAGGTGCCAGGGATTGATGGGGTGGAGGCTGAGGAGTTTTAAGGTCCCAGGGGGGACCACAAAGTGGGGACTGCAGGAAGCTGTCCCTGACAGCTATGTAAGTTGCCAAAAGAGAGTGGAAGACCCGGAGATGTCACCGGACTTCTCAATGGAAACTATGAAAGCCGTATCCTGGACAGATGTCCTATAAATACTAAGGGAACAAGGATGCCAGCCCAGACTACTGTACGCAGCAAAGCTTAATTATCATAGATGGAGTAAACAAGATATTCCATGACAAAACCAGATTTAAACAATACATATCCACAAATCCAGCCCTACAGAAAGTAATGGAAGGAAAACTTCAACCCAATGACGATAACTACACTCACAAAGACATTTGCAATAGATCATCCCACTTTACCAAACACCAAAAGAAAAAGGGAGGGAAACCCACACACAATAACACCACCGCTAATAAATCCAAAACAAACAAGAATCAGCAATCAATGGTCATTAATATCCCTCAATGTCAATGGTCTCACCTTGCCTATAAAAAGACACAAACTAACAGAATGGATACGAACACAGAACCCATCCTTCTGCTGTATATAAGAAACATATCTCAATGTCCAAGACAGATGTTACCTCAGAGTAAAAGGTTGGGAAAAGATTTTCCAATCAAATGGACCCAAGAAACAAGTGGGTGTAGCAATCCTAGTATCTAACAAATTAGACTTCAAATTAAAATCAATCAAAAGAGATGAAGAAGGACATTTCATATTCATCAAGGAAAAGTCCACCAAGATGAAGTCTCAATTCTGAACATCTATGCACCAAATAAAAAGGCACCCGCATTCGTGAAAGAAACATTACTAAAGCTCAAACCACATATAAAGCCCCACACACTTATAGTGGGAGACTTCAACACCCGACTCTCACCACTAGACAGGACCTCCAGACAGAAACTTAACAAAGAAACAAAAGAACTAACAGAAGTTATGATCCTATTGGGTTTAACCGATATCTATAGAACATTCCATCCAGACACAAAAGAATATACCTTCTTCTGAGTGCCACAAAATCGGAAACATAGCAAACCTCCACAGGTACAAAAAAAAAAAAAAAACGGAATAACCCCTGTATCTTATCAGACCACCATGCTTTAAAATTAGAATTCAACAACGCAAATTGCAGAAACCCTGCAAACTCATGGAAATTGAACAATGTGCAATTGCACCATCCCTGGGTCAAGGAAGAAATAAAAAAAGAAATTAAAGACTTCCTGGAATTCAATGAGAATGAAGACACAACATAACTAAACTTATGGGACACTTTGAAAGCAGTGCTGAGAGGAAAGTTCATAGTACTAAGTGCCCATATGAAGAAGCTGGAGAACAGTCGTCATACTACAGAATTAATAGCACAACTGAATGCTCTAGAACAAAAACAAGCAAACTCACCCAGGAGGAGTAGACGCCAGGAAATAATCAAATTGAGGGCTGAAGTCAATAAAGTAGAAACCAGAAAAACATTGCAAAGAATCAGTGAAACAAAGAGTTGGTTCTTTGAGAAATATCAACAAGATAGACAAACCTTTATCCAAACTAACCAAAAGGCAGAAAGAGAGAATGCACATCAACAAGATCTGAAATGAAAAGGGGGACATAAAACAGACACTGAGGAAATCCAGAAAACCATCACGTCATACTTCGAAAGCCTGTACTCCACAATATTTGAAACTCTAAAGGAAATGGACACTTTTCTGGATAGATATCACTTGCCAAAATTAAATCAAGAACAGATAAGCAGTCTAAGCAGACCTATAAGCCCTAATGAAGTAGAGGCAGTCATCAAAAGTCTCCCAACCAAAAAAAGCCTAGACCCAGATGGCTTCAGTGCAGAATTCTACCAGAAATTCAAAGAGGAACTAATACCAATACTCCTCAAAGTTTTCCACACAATAGAAGCAGCAGGTTCACTGCTAAACTCTTTTTATGAGGCTAAAATTACCTTGGTACCCAAGCCACACAAAGACACAACTAAAGAAGAGAACTATAGACCAATTTCCTTCATGAACATCGATGCAAAAATACTCAATAAAATACTAGCAAATTGAATCCAAGAACACATCAGAAAAATCATCCACCATGATCAAGCAGGCTTCATCCCAGGAATGCAGGGATGGTTCAGCATAGGACAATCCATCAGTTTAATCCACCTTATAAACAAACTGTAAAGGAAAAATCACATGATCATCTCACTAGATGTTAAAAAAGCCTTTGACAAAATCCAACACCCCTTCATGATAAAGGTTCTAGAGAGATCAGGGATAGCAGGAACATACTTGAACATAATAAAAGCTATATACAGTAAACCAACAGCTAACATGAAACTAAATGGAGAGAAACTCAATGCAATTCCTTTAAAATAAGGAACAAGACATGGCTGTCCACTCTCTCCAGGGAGGAAAGATGAGCAAAGAGATAAAGAATGGGCTGGTAAACCCACAAACACAGCTGACCTGAACAAGGGGGAGCTCTTGGACACCAGACCCACAGCTTGATGGCCAGCATGGGACTGATCCAGACCCTGAGTGTGAGTGTCAGTGAAGAGGCCTGGACAATCTATGGGGCCCTGGGTAGTAGATCAGTATTTATCCCTAGCATACAAATGGACTTTGTGTTTCCATACCACAAAGAGGGATGCTCTCTCAGGGTGCACTCTTGTGGGGGTCCTAGGCCCTGCCCTGGACAAATGACAGACTCTGTATATCCCATATGGGGAAGGGAGTAGGGTAGGGTAGCGGGTGTAGGAGAAGGGGAGGGAGAGGGAGCTGGGACTGACATTGAAGAAAGCTTGTTTCTAACTTAAAAAAATGTCCTAAAAATAAAAATAAAAGAAGTTGAGAGATAGGCTGTATTTCATTATCAGGGAATGGTTGGTTTCGAGCCCACGGATTGGTTGGTTTTGCGTGTGGGTTTTCAAGGGAAGAGTGTGTTTGTTTGGCTCTGGTTTCAAGACCACAGTGTGTTTCTTTCAGTGGTCCCTTTTAACCATTTGAATCTGGCTTCGGAGCTGGGTTGTTTCTTTGGTATCAGGGTCAGGGAGCGTTTCTTTGGCTCTGGTTTCAGGGCGAAAATGTATGTACTTCTCTTGCTGTGATGTCAGGGTCAGCGTGTTCCTTTGGTTGGCTCTTTTCCCCTACACATATGGATTCATAAATTCATTTTTCCATGAGTTTGCTGATGCAAGCAATATAAAAGTCATCTTAATGCTTGAATAGATTGATGACAAATTATTTCCTACAGAATAAACATGTGTTTTACTGAATGTAAGTGTGTTGGCAAAAATCTTACCAAATTCTTGATAATAAGGAGCCCTTAGTATCTTTCTCAGGTACTCAAAGACTACTGTTACATGCAAAGGCATTAATAGATTGATTTCACACAAAAAGTTTTACTCACCGATAGCCTCCAAAACAATACAGAGAAACCCTGTCTCGTAAAACCAAAAAAAAAAAAAAGTTTTACTCATGCATGAAGTGAAAACTTTACCACACTAATTACATATGTATAGTTTCTCTGCAGAATGATAATTGTCTCATGATTTTGAAGACTACTGATACATGGGAAGGCTTTACTACACTAATCACATTCATATAATTTCTCTCCACTGTGGGTTCTCTTATCTAGCCTGAGACTACTGACACATGACTTTCATGCATTTGCAGGTGACTGGGGCATGCGAAGGCTTTACCACACAGACCGAGTTCATAGGAATTCTCTCAAGTATGGGATCTTTTATGCTGTTGAAGAGTACTGTGACATACAAAGGCTTTACCACACTAATTATATTCACAGGACTTCCCTCCAGTATGTGTCTTTTCATGCATTTGCGGATGACTGCAGTGTGCAAAGGCTTTACCACACTGATCACATTCATAGGGTTTCTCTCCAGTATGAGTTCTTTCATGTGTTTTCAGACTTTTCTTATTTATATAGGGTTTACCACACTGATTACATTCATAGGGTTTCACTCCAGTATGTGTCCTTTTATGAATTTGCAGATAACTTGGGCATGCAAAGGCTTTATCACACTGATTACATCTATAGGGTTTCTTTTCAGTATGGGTTCTTTTATGCCTTTGCAGATGACTGCTATATGCATAGGCTTTACCACACTGATTACATCCATAGGGTTTCTCTCCAGTATGTGTTCTTTGATGTGTTTTCAGACTTTTGTTATTTGCATAGGCTTTGCCACAGTGCTTATATTCAATGGGTTTCTCTCCAGCATGAGTTCTTTTATACCTTTGAAGTGCAAAGGCTTTAACACATTGAGTATATACAGAAGGCTTCTCTCCAGTTTGACTTCTTTCATTTCTGCAAGAATGATTGGCACATGTAAAAGCTTTACCACAGTCAATGCATTGTTGAATCTTTGTATCTGTATGAATTAATTTTACACTTTGGTCCAATTGTAAAGAGGAATCAGATCTTACGTTTCTATCACTGTGTTTACAGTCATGTTGTTCCCCATTATTTAGGGTTGTTTTGCCTCTTTGAAGATAACTGTGGTAGTAAAATCCTTTATTATGTGCTCATATTTATAGAATCTTTTTTCTATATGAGATTTTTCATAAGTTTAAAGTGAACTGGAAAAACTCAGAGGTTACCACCTATTGCATCCATAAGTTTTCATATACTGTGAGTCATACTACATTTGCTAAGTGAACTAGAACAAACAGAAGCGTTTATGCAGTCCTAGTACCCATAGGGCTTTCTGTAGTATGAGTTTGTTGATGTACTAACAATGAAGTTGGACAGCCAATTATTTCTACACTTGTAACAAATTCAACCAGTGTACTCAACATGGGGACTGAGACATATCTTCTGATTGTTCTGAGAGACACATGTTGCATTTTTCCATTGCCCTGTGCTCATATGGCTTATATCCAGAGTGACATATGATAGACCTACTAAGGGAAGAATAACAAATGGTTTCCACACTGAATTCACAGTTTCACTCTCTGTTCCTCATAGACCTGTTGTATAGGGATTAAGGGTTTTCCATAACAACTGCCCCTTGACCCTTAATTCTAACTGCCTCCTCACTAAGCTTAGCATAGTTACAACAAGCTTACTATTTGCTAATTAGTATTTGGAGATTTACTTTTCAATGTATATACCTTTTGTAATATGAGTGGTATGAAATATATGGAATGAAAGTTCTGTAGCACAGCTCTCATGCTGCTATGATTCAAATCTATTAAGGCATTGTTTCTTTGCCTTCTTTCTTAAAAGATTGCTATGCAGATGCAATTCACCTATCTGAAAATGAGGTATATGGTTTTGTGAGAATTTAACAATCATCAATGCACTTTAAGCTGTGCTTATTTACACTGTTGCTTTTGTTTAAAATTTCCAGGACACTTACAATTTCTTCAGAGGCACATTTGTGTCATTTTGCACATGAAAATTACTTTTCATATCTTCTGGAATGTTGATAATATTCTTCAGTACGATGGTCTTCCCAACTGTATCCTAAAATGTAATACCAGAAAATGCATATTACATTAATGAAAGCTGTGAAAAACTTAAGTTACCATCTTCAATGAACCATAGAACTATGCATTATTTTTTCACCTCATTCTTCTTCTTTCTCAATCAAATTGCAGAAGAGCATCAACAACCAAGTCAAAGTTGTCTCCTTATTTAAAACATGAAGGAAATTTCAGTCTTACCTATAGCAGTGAGGTTCCTGTAGGTCTCCAGCATCACATCTTCATAGAGATTCTTCTGAGAAGGATCCAGCAAAGTCCACTCTTCCCAAGAGAAGTCGATGTGCACATCATCATAGGTCACTGCATTCTAAAAATATCCCACACATGTGTGCAACTGAAGATATGATACCAACCACATTGTAAATGTCTACTTCTTTGACAGTATAGTCATACACTTCTGGTGCTTCCCACACATATTAGGTGACAAGGACATTATAATGTAATCACCAAGTCACTTTAGAAGGAAGTTGACTAGGAGGTTCATCTTTGTCATTTCCATACCCTTTGAATAAAACATCACCTTGGAAGAGAAAGACAAGTAAATAAGTCAACAGTACGGAGTACACACATGGGAGAAATTGTATGAACAATTACTAACTACAAAAGAGAAAAATAAGATGGACAAGCTGGGTTTATTGGCTCATGCCTTTAATCCCAGCACTCAGAAGGAAGAGGCAAGAGTATCTAACTGAGTAGAACATCAGCCTAGTCTATGCAATCACATCCAGGACAGTCAGAAGAACATATTGAGACCCTGTTTTCTGTCCAGAAATCTGTCAAACAAACAAACAAGGTAGAAAGAACTCAGAGTTTATGCACAGAAATTCCTACAAAGAGTTATGCGTTCACTCCAGTTCTGTTTTCATCTTCCAGAAACCTGAATTGCCCTGACTTAAACTGTATCATAAATAAGACTTTACTAAAAGTCACTGCATGTTTAAACAGTTAGAAATTAACAGATGAAAACATTAGCAATATAAATGTTGATCGCAAATAATCAACACAGGGCAGAGAGCTGGCTCTGCAGTCAAGGCTCTTGCTGGCCTTGCATACAGGTGGGCTCAATTGCCAGTACTTATGTGCGGAATCACAACCATCCACTATTCCAAGTTCAGGATTTCTGAGCCCATCTTTTGGTCACTGTGAGGACCAGGTACCCATGTAGTACATATCCCTGCATACAGGTGAAATACTCAAATTCAAAATAAACCCAGCAGGCAAGGAGAAGGTCATGCCCCTGCAATCAATGACACAGAATGCTCAGGCAGCATCAATGTCATGAATGCATCTCATCCTGGAAAACAGAATGACACCCTGTACCACATTTTAAAATTCAATATATGGGTGAAGCTCAGTACAACAACCTGTGCTTAACGTGCACAAAAACCTACATTCCAGGCCCATCACCCAATAATACAAAAACAAAACTAGCCAGGAATGTTGGCCCACCATAAATCCCAGGACTTGGGATTGAGAGACAGGGGGACCTATAATTTTGAGGACAAGTATGGTGTACAGAGCTACTTTCAGGACAGTCCAAGAACACATTAGAAAAATCATGCACCATGATTAAGTAGGCTTCATACCAGGGATGCAGGGATGGTTCAACACATGAAAATCCATCAATGTAATCCACCATATAAATAAACTGAAAAAGAAAAACCACATGACCATCTCTTTAGATGCTGAAAAAGTATTTGACAACGTCCAACACCACTTCATGATGAAGGTCTTAGAGAGAATAGGGATACAAGCAACATACCTAAACATAATACAGGCAATATACAGCAAGCCAACAGCCAGCATCAAACTAAATGGAGAGAAACTCAAAGCAATTCCTTTAAAATCAGGTCTTCATATCTCTTCAGTATTGTACTTGAAGTTCTTGCTAGAGCAATAAGACAACAAAAGTAGATCAAAGAGATACAAATTGGAAAGGAAGAAGTCAAACTTTCACTGCTTGCAGATGATATTATAGTTTACATAAGTGACCCGAAAAACTCCACCAGGGAACTCCTACAGCTGATAAACACCTTCAGCAAAATGGCAGGATACAAGGCTAACTCAAAGAAATCAGAAACCCTATTATACACTGACGATAAATGGGCTGAGAAAGAAATCAGAGAAACACCCTTTACAATAGCCACAAACAACATAATATTTCGGGGTAATTCAAACCAAACAAGTGAAAGACCTGTATGGCAAGAACTTTGAATCTTTAAAGAAAGAAATTAAAGAAGACACCAGAAAAACAGGAAGATCTCCCATGCTCTTGGATAGGTAGGATCAATGTAGTAAAAATGTCAATCTCACCAAAAGCAATCTACAGATTCAATGCAATCCCATCAAAATCCCAGCACAATTCTTCACAGACCTTGAAAGAACAATACTCAAGTTCATATGGAAAAAAAAGCCAGGAAACCAAAACAACAGAACCCTCTACAATAAACAATCTTCCGGTGGCATCACCATCCCTGCCTTCAAGCTCCACTACAGTAATGAAAACAGCTCCCTATTGGTTCCCAAATAGACAGGTAGACCAACGGAATCTAACTGAAAACCCTGACATTAACCCACACACCTATGAACCCCTGATTTTTGACAAAGAAGCTAAAACTATACAATGGAAAAAGAAAGCATCTTCAACAAATGGTGCTGGCATAAGTGGATGCTGACATGTAGAAGATTAAGATTACAGATAGATCCATGTGTACAAAACTTAATTCTAAATGGATCAAAGACCTCAACATAAATCCAGCCAACTTAATCTCCTAGAAGAAAAAGTGGGAGGTACCCTTGAACAAATAGGTACAGGAGACCCCCTTCCTGAACATAACACCAGTAGCACAGACACTCAAATCAACAGTTAACAAATGGGACCTCCTAATAATAAACTGAGAAGCTTCTGCAAGGCAAAGGACACACTCAACAAGACAAAACGGCATCCCACAGAATGGGAAAAGCTCTTGACCAAGCCCACATCTGACGGAGAGCTGATTTCCAAAATATACAAAGAACTCAGGAAGCTAGTCACCAAACACCAAATAATCCAATTAAAAAGTGGGGGTATAGAACTAAACATAGAATTCTCAATAGAGGAATTTAAAAAGGCTAAAAGACAAGACACTTAAGAAATTGGTCAATGTCAAAACAATTCTGAGATACCATCTTACTCCTGTCAGAATGGCTAAATCCAAAACACCAACAACAGTTTATGCTGGAGAGGATGTGGAGAAAGGGGAACACTCCTCCACTGCTGGTGGGAGTGCCAACATAACAGCCACATTGGAAATCAGTATGGTAGCTTCTCATGAAAATGGGAATTAGTCTACCTCAAGATCCAGCAATTCCACTCTTAAGCATATACCCAAAGGATGCACATTCATACAACAAGGACATCAATTCAACTATGTTCATTACAGCATTATTTGTAATAGCTAGAACCTGGAAGCAACCTAGATGCCACTCAACTGAAGAATAAATAAAAAAATGTGGTACATTTACACAATGGAGTACTCTTCAGCAGAAAAAAAATCAATGAAATCTTGAAATTCGCAGGCAAATGGATGGAACATAAAGACTGAAGGTGGATCTTATTTTTTGTTTTTTGTTTTGTGTGTTTTTGGTTTTTTTTTTTTTTGGTGTTTTCAAGAGGGGGCTTATCTGTGTATCCCTGGAACTTTTTCTGTAGACCAGGCTAACCTCAAACTCAGAAAATGTGACTGCATCTGCCTCCTGAATGCTGGGGTTAGAGGAGTGTACTGCCACCAAGCAGGTAAAGGTGGATCCACATTAAAGATCATTAAAGATCACGCAAAGAAGAAAACTGAATAACATACAAGGAAAACAGCACTGGAGAATTGGGACAATACAATACCTCTTAAAGTAATTTCAAGTGACTGGCGCCCATAGAACAATTTTCAAAGATAAACATGGCCAAGCATGTGAGTGAGAACATGCCATTAATCCCGGCCACTTGAGAAACTTAACACTTGACAGTGGGCCACCACCTTACCATGCAACCTGAACTTCCTGTCCATCTTGAGCTGAGTATTGTAGGACCCACCAAGTCATAAAGTAGACAGGCACAGCTGTCATCTGTTATCAAATGATAGTGATATAGAAGAGATCAGGCCCAAGAAGGTCCTCAAGTCACAAACAAGTCCCATGAAGGGGTTTCCCAAACGCGTCTGGTTTCTACTTCTGTCACAATGCCCTCTGATGCCAAGCACACACCTATAACCCCATGGGGTGTTCCCTATGATTGGTTGACTGCAGAAGAGAAGACCAGTGGCCTGGTTCACTGATGGTTCTGTATGTCATACAGGCACCACCCAGAAGTGGACAGCTGCAAACCCGGAAAACTCTGTCTCCAGTTCTAAAGCCACCATTTAGAATTGTCTTTGAAGGACTGAATGACAGGGCTGGAGAGATGACTCAGTGATTAAGAGCACTGGCTGCTCTTCCAGAGGGCTGGGGTTCAATTCCCAACAACCACTTGGTGGCTCACAGCTGCCTGTAGCTCTAGTTCTAGGGGACCCAACGTCCTCACACAGACACACATGCAGGCAAAACACCAATGAACATAAAATTAAAATAAAAAATTAAAGTACTGAATAAAATTTAACATCAATTTCTAAATGGAGGTATCTTATTCCATTATCATCCTGACTTAAATGATTTCCCACGTGTGTGTATGCTTCAGTTGCTAAACCTGAAGGTATAAAATTGGAATATTAAAGCTTTAAAAGTACAGGTTAATAATGAAGTTAGACTCTATAAAACGATATGCTTAAGAAAATTTTCGGAGTCTTTTTTTTTGGTTTTTTGAGACAGGGTTTTGTGGGAACAACAGACCTTGGCTGGAGACCCACTTCCCCATCAGCCTGGGAGCAGGCAGCTGTAAGACAATGTTTACTAAAAACATGTTTACTGAAAACAATCCAGTGTCCATAAGAAATGTTTACTGGAATAATAAGTTTCTGAAAAGGGCTCGCCCACGGGAACGCCCTGACCTCGACCTTTCCAAAGACTAACCACCTCTTCCTGACCCACCGACCTCTGGTGTCAGAGCAGAACCAGCCAGGGGTAAGGAAGGGAGCTTTTCTTGAGGGAAGTCTTTCTTGGGAAGTTTTTTCTTGAGCCTTCTTGGAGCCTGTTTAAAGTTTTCTTTACACCGCCGACTGGTCTCTGTGTCATCAATCCTAACACCCTCGCCACATTCTGGGATACAGGCTGTGCAGCGGGTGTGGAGGCTGTCCTGGAACTTGCTCTGTAGATCAGGCTGGCCTTGAACTCACAGAGATC